TTTGGAGGTCGTTCCCCTGAGGCCAAAGTAATCCTAATTCTGGTGTGCATGACAAGCGATTCCGCTAAAGATGGGGATCCACTGGAGATGATGTACGCATGGGACGGTAATCGACAAGCCGTAATAAGGAAACTTTGAGCAATGACTGCCGGCAATCAAACGGTACCTATGTCGTACCTTTGAATTTCTAACCAATCTTGGAGCGTCTTGCTCCCATATTCTTCGTATCCCTCGGACCTCGAACCTTGGGACTTCAGGCTGATTCCAAAAATGATGTGCCTTCGATGTAAGGCTTCCGGTTCGACGACACAGGCGCTTACCAATCAACTAGCGACAAACGCGTTGGAAAAATTTTCCAAGAATGGGTTACAGTCCGTTTTAAGCTCTTTACAAAGGAAAGGAAATGTGTGTTGCAAGTCAGGTTGAATTAGAAGGCTGACTGGAAAAAATTAAGTAAACTTGACCTTTTTTTAAAATAAATTCTTCAGCGAATTGACGTGAAAATGTAGGTATACCTTGTTGACAAGGTTCTTCAAGAGTTGTTGATGTATATGCAACCTTGCCCATCTACTATTAAGTTATGACATATTTAATCGGATTGGTAAAATTTTCTGAGTGGACAGGCATGTGACTGCCAATGGTAAGGTACGAATCCATATTTGACTTTTGCCTAATGAATCAGTTCCACTGGACGGATCCTCGCGAAAACTTAGAAGGTTGTCAAAAATATGTACTCAACCATAAAAAGTTCATGCATCTGCATGCATTTTCAGGGATCCTCATGCATTTTGTATTCGTACCTCGCAATGGCAGTCGCATGCCTGCTTAATCCTTTTTTTTACCATTTCGACAAAATATGCCATAACTCATGAATGGGTAACCATGAATTCATATAATTTCAAGAGCTCTAGGAAAGCCTAGCAGGCAACGATCCATTAAATTTTCAGGCTAATCAAGTACAAGATATGAATTCCATATAAAAGTTTCAAGTTGCTTTCTTGTCATCCATGTATTTCAAAAGGCATCATTTTGAAACAGAGCGTCTGCACATGGTTTGCTCATATGAAAACCGGTTCTGGAGCTTATTGATATGTCTACGTACATACTACAATACTTCTGAGGGTATTACACGGGATATGTGTCTTTACTCCTTCTTCATTAAAGGTAAAGTGGGAATATGTGTACGAATATAACTTATGTAACAGCCCTTTGTGGCGGTTATACTAAATTTTAACTGCTCATCAGGAGGCGACGATAAAATTCATAAGATGAAATGAAGAGGTTAATAGATTACATCACGCAAAGCAATGCAAACCACCCGCCAGCGGGTCGTATGATCCACTAGATTCACTAGATAGATCACAAGGACCTGTACGACCCGCCCGCCGCATGGCAGCGAAAGTGTTAAGTTACAGACGAGGGGAAGAAAGTGGAAGATGGAGTGGGAAGGGAAAAGGAGTGCTGGCAAGTTTGCAGAGCCGCAGTAATGCTTTACAACTGAAGAATCTGAATCACCCGCAGAGTTAGCCCTCTGTGCAAACGTTGTATTTGCGCGACCCTGCCGTCGCTGCTGCAAAAGACTCCTTCTCGCCGCCCACGACGTACCTTAATCCTTTTTACAGTGGGCCTTTTTTTTTAAACTTCTCAAAATTTGAAAATCTGAAAAAAAATATTCTTTGCCTAAGTTGATTATGAAGGAAAGAAGCAGTTCAACAATGAAGATAGACTCATCTCAGTGCAATTCTTGGACATACTTTGGGAGACTGAGTGGACATTGGGTAGATTGAAGAAGGGAGCTAATCTTGATTCTCTTGGACGAAGGAAATTAAGTAGAAGGGAAATAAATTTAGGCGTCTCAATCGGGAGACACGTTTGCAACATAAACGCGCTGGGACGGCAGCGACGACGTTTTCTGAGGAAGAGCGGCGGGTGCTGCATGGAATTAGGAAAAATGTCACCCGGAAAAAAAAATTTGACAAAAGTGAGAAAAAGCGACCAGATGAGAAAATGCAAAAAAATTCACCTTGCTATTGCTATTTTATTTCTTTCATTTCATGTATATATATTTCTGCATATCAAATTATCAAAAACACTCGCTTGGGAATGTTAAGACACATTCATGTAAGAATGTAGCTGATTATTATCCATGTTTGTTATATTTAAGGGGTGAATTGCCACCAATTATTCAAATGAAATTTTATTGATTTTTCATTTCCCTTCATTGAGAATAAAACGATAGAAGATGCAAAGCATCTCTCGATTGGAGGTACTTCCTGAATTCTTTAAAAATATTCTTTGCCTAAGTTGATTATGAAGGAAAGAAGCAGTTCAACAATGAAGATAGACTCATCTCAGTGCAATTCTTGGACATACTTTGGGAGACTGAGTGGACATTGGGTAGATTGAAGAAGGGAGCTAATCTTGATTCTCTTGGACGAAGGAAATTAAGTAGAAGGGAAATAAATTTTTAAAAAAATTACATTTCCCCCAAAATTTTATTTCTGAACAAGTTCCAAGAAGTGCTCACCTAGTATTAATACAATTGGCCCACCCTGCAGCATGGCCACAAACAACTAATTTGCTGTGGGGATTGGCCATGCTATCCAATTTTAAGAAATCTGCAGACGAGGACTTGTTGCATTTTTTTCATTAAATTTCGGTGAAGTGAATCAAGTGAATAAACAATATTACTCAACGTCGCAAAATGAACGCATCTTTAATCTGATGTGAACATAACGGGGTTACACTTTTCCAAAATCTAAGGGGTCTAATTTCCGAGTGGCTCTTTTCCTGAACTTGCTGCGGGGATAGCGGCGGATGTAGGCGCTGCTGCAGGGGCGACAGCCACGGACGGATGCGAAGGCGGCGCGACCGAAGCAGGGACAGCAGCTGCAGGCGGTAACGACTGGAACGGGAGCAACCTGATAACGCGGGCAGAGTTTCTCAAGTGGGTAGGGCGGGAAAGAATTCGTAATTTTCAAGGTCGGAGCGGTCCCAAACAGTTATGCCCTCTAACTACTTTGCTCTCGGATCTTGTCTTGATCTTCCTGGCGAGTAGAGATCTAGCAAATGTTGAATTACTGATGACTTATTGCCGTCTTTACCACCGTTCGGGCAATGAAGGGCTTTATACGGGGGAAAACTTCAATCAGCAGCTGCGCCCAATCCCTGAGCACTGGCCTTAATTTCCTGACACTTTTTAGAGCAAGTTATGAATTAAAACTTACAAAGGACATTGTCTGTAATCTCTGATAATCAGTACGAAATGGGGAGAGAGACGACAGAAAAAATATTTGCATTCAGAGAGTTAATAATGAGGGCCTATTTATTGGGGTCAAGGGTGAGAGGTCAGGCGTGACACCTAAGGGAATACGCTCGTACTAAGACTCCCATTGGGGGACTCAGAAAGCTCTTCCCCTAAAATCTTCCGGCCAGGCCATTCACTTTGTACTGTGCCGGCTAAACTGTTATCTTATTATTATTATTAGCCGTAATTTAGCTATCGGCATCCGTAGCTGGTAAAACTCCTGATGGCGCCAGTGTCCGACACCGTTGGTAGCCAATTAATCGGTATGGTATTAAAATACTGAACTCTTAAAAGAGTCCATACTGTTCAAAGTTCAGAGACAATAGGGTAGCGAGGTAAAATACGGAGTGACAGAGATATGAGGGAAACTCTGATTCCGGCTCCTTTCGCCATCTGCAGGGTAAGAAAAAAAGTATACAGTCGAAGAGGGTTTCGAGGGGGGACGGTCGCATCGCCTACCCAAGTAGCAATTTTGATTAAAAAAATAAATCCATTGGACATACCCACATGGACACATCCACTGGATGACTAAGGGCTGATTGCATTTAGATGGAAAGTAAGGTATTACTGAAATTTTACTCTCATCTTCTTGTACTTTCTCTCTCAATCAAGAGACTGGTAACCGCTGCCAAATGATTGGAATAGATTTCCTTGGCAAGGGGAACCACTCTCTCTCCATGTAATGTACAAGAATTGCGGGGAGTCTTCTTGAGCTATGTTACGTCTCTCAACAAATGAAAAGGAATGACTTCCTTCCTTTGGCTTGTACATGAGAAATTATCGAGTAGAGAATGAGAGCTTCCGCAGAACAATTCATCTGCATTAAGGAAATCAGGACATATACAATGGTGGGTTCATTGCCACTTCACTTTTATTGTGGGAACTTTATGTTTATTGAATGAACTGGTAGATGTCAGGTCAGATGGAGGGTCTCAACGAGGCGGGGACTCCATCCAAGGACATCCATGGGTGGACCCTGAGAGGATGTCATTGGAAGTTCCTTTGCTGAACGTCCAATGAATGTCCATAGATGGACTAACACATCATTTAGTTCCTAATGTCGAACTCTATATGAAATCATTCACTGGTCAAAGGATATCACATTGTCTAATTAATGATTGAAGTTATTGAATGACTTTTGATGATACATTTGAATAAAACATAGAACTATAGAAATCGCATGATCGGTTGCTCGTAACGTCATTCCAAAAAAAAATCATTTAATAAAATTGATATTATTAAGTGTTCGATGTAGGAAAATTCTGCTCGGAAATAAAACAGAATGCATGAGAAGATATCGATCCATGGCAATGACGTCCTATTGCACTCTGTACAACTCATTACAGTACAGTTATGTATCCTGCTAGTTGTGGCTTGGGTCGGGAACAAAGTTTTCCATTTATGGCGCTTCAGATTTAGAATTATAGTCATCCCCCGAAGTTACGTCGTAATTGGTTCCGAGACTGGCGACGTAAGTCGAGTCGCAAGTCGGGGGATGACTGTACACGGAACTTTCACTTTTGTGCAGCAGCCCACTGTTGCTTTCTACACTTTCTTTTAAATAGACTTATTCTTGATTATTATTTGAATTTGCATGGGTGTAGGCTCTGGGTCACTACTTCTACCCAAGACTTGATCTCTTTCTGCCATTGGCCATTTCCGGAATATTGATCTGTGATTACATGTAGAAAACATGAAACTGCAGGTGGCGAACCTATTGCGAACACTTGCTTCAGAGGAAGAGAAGACAAGCCGCTTAACAGAGAAGAACGCAAGGAATGAGGCTCGATGCACAGAACTTCAGCAGACACTGGACGAGGAGCGATCCGTCCATCAGCAGACGGAAGAATGTATTCGCAGGATGGAGACGGAGCTCAATAAAACCAGATTACAAGTATCGCATTCAACCCATTCGTCTTTTTCTTACCCAAAGCTTTGCTGAAGTGATTCAGAGATGAGAGACTGATTGCAGGTAGAGGAGTTGCAGCAGCAACAGGAGAGTCAATTAAGAACTCTGACTTTGGAGGAGGAGAAGACAAGCCACTTAACAGAGCTGAATGCAGAGAATGAGGCTCGATACACAGAACTTCAGCAAACATTCGACAGGGAGCGGTCTTTCCGTCTGCAAGCAGAGGAAAGTAATCTCGGGATGAAGACGGAGCTCATCAATGTTAATGCTCAGGTCTTCCCCTTTCATGTTTTCTTCCATGAATAACATTTTTCTTTCTGAGAGTTGAATGACTCATGTCGATAACTCCTCGTTTTAGATGGAAGAGATGAAGCAGCAATTGGCCATGAAGGAAGAGGAGCTTGCACAGGCCTCTACAGCCTTATCCGCACGACAGAACCGAGTAAAACTTTCGTTTTGAAATACAGTGGTACCTCGCATAACGAACGCAATTCGTTCCAGCGGTGCGTTCGTTATGCGAGGTGTTCGCGAGTGAAAGTGAAAAATTTTTTCCTAATTTCCTTGATTTTTCGCGGCGACGACATAGAAGTCTATGGGAAATCGTGTTTCGCATAACGAACACCTCGCATAACGAACGCACCGCTGGAACGAATTGCGTTCGTTATGCGAGGTACCACTGTAGTACCTATAATCGAATTTGAGTTCTACAGAACCTCGATTACATAGATGTTACTGATGCTCCTTAGAGCAGCTTATTCTTAAAACAGGGTTTGTAGCAATACATTTTTTCAATTGAGGTGTTATCACTTTTTAGTTCACTGAAGCGCTTGCTTTGACTTGTTTTATGTAATGCAGAATTTCGGGGCGCTTGCCTTGGAAGGAATTGCGATTTATAGGATGGGGACAAGGCGGGGATGAGTCATGTTAAACTAGGGTTGAAGGGAGAGCGGAGCCGCAGGAAGGGGGGAGAGGGGCGGAAGGATAGTGTTGGAGAGGGGACGAAACCCTATTAATACAGGGTTAAAATTATCTACTGCAACTATTAACTTAATTGCAACACGATGTCGGGTTCGATGGCTGTGGAAGCGAATACGCTGCATTACGTGATCTAAGGTTTTCGTTTAAAAATAAAGGAATAGGAGCTAATGATATGGTGGGCCCCGCTGCCATGTAGTGAACAATCGCATGCCCCTCACCCACCATGGTGAGATCCTACCAACTCCAGGGTTGCCACATCCACAGAAACTGTCAAGGATGCAAACGAACTAATAGGTACTTCAACTTTATGGTGGAGAAGGCATAGGAGGGTGATTGTCAGAGGTCACATTCCATGGCCTAACAAGAACCATTGCTTGAAGTTATGTTTGCCATGACTACCATCCAGGTTATGAAAAGCCAAACTATAACTCCAATACATGATCTGGTGGCTGGTGATTGTCATTTCTGAGAACAGGAATAGGTCTAGGAATTAAGAAATAATCCCACCCAAGGCAAAATCGGGAGAGAATAGTTTGTCCTGTCTTGTCCTGTCTGAAAAGCCAAAGTTACATAATCCATATTCCATATACATAAGAGGCTAACATGTCTGTGTCAGTGTGTCATTCCGGGAAACTCCTCCCAAACGGATGAACGAATTTTAATAATTCAGGTGTCAATGGAAAGCTCATGACCTCGAGGCGATACTTATTGGGTCAAAAGTCCAAAAAGTACGCTGCAAACGTGGTTTCTATGGGATGGGTTCTCCTGTCTTTCCGTGCTTTTCCGAGGTGAAACTCGATCGGCCCAATTCGAATCGTGGCCTGCACCCGACCCAGATCGCAATCGAGCCGGACCGAGATGGACCGAGCTTAGCTGCTCCAAGCCGCGGATCGTGTTTTGCTGACGTGGCCGGTCCGCAACCCGCTCCAAGCCTCTGATGACGTATTTGCCCCAAGGGGACCCAAGTAGCCGTGGGTGATCCAAAACTCGTCCGTGGACAGTCCAGTTGTCCAAAGATAGGCATAAGTCCAAAAGCGGTCGTCCTTTGGACGTACATGGGATGTCATCGCCATGGATCGATATCTTCTCATGCATTCTCAGCTTTATCCAAGCACAATTCCCCTACATCAAGCACTTAATTATTTCCATTTTTATTGAATGATGCATGTTTGGAATGACGTTACGAGCATCCGTTCGTGGGATCTATAGTTCTATTTATTAAATTCAAATGTCTCATCTATGGTCGAAATCCATTAACTTCAATAATTTTATAGACAGTGTAATATTATCCTTTGACCAGTGCATGATTTCATGTAGAATACGACATTAGGAACAAAAATGATATGTCCGTTCATCTATGAACATCCGTTGGACGTTCAGCTAAGGAACTTCCAAGGACATCCTCTCAGGGTCTACCCATGGATGTCCTTGGATGGAATCCCGTTCCATTGAGGCCCTACACCTGGCCTGACATCTAGCAGTTCATTCGATAAACATGTTCCCACAACATAAGCGAAGTGACAATGAACCCACTACTGTATGCCTCCTGATTTCCTTAATGCTGATGAATTGTTCTGCGAAAGCTCTCATTCTCTACTCGATAATTTCCCATGTACAAGCCAAAGGAAGGAAGTCATTTCAATAATTTCATTTGTTGAGACACGTAACATAGTTCAAGAAGACTCCCGGCAATTCTTGCACATTGCATGGAGAGAGAGTGGTTCTCCTTGCTAAGGAAGTCTGTTCCGTTTGCATGCTGATGACAATGCCTTTGGCAACGGGAACCAGTCTCATGATTGAAAGCGCAAGGATGAGATGGGAATTACGTGTTAGTAATATCTGTCTCTCCATTCAAACGCCTCTTTTCTATTTCTTCCCATGAATGTGAGTGGGTGGAATCTTTTAAATCTCCGAAAGTACTCCTCTCCCAAGCTACGAATATTAATTAGCATGCAAATTAAGTTCCATTCCTACCTGGGGATGGGGTTTGCCATAGCTATTATTGCATCCCTCAATTGTTATCAGATAGCTTTCCGGTAGGGAATCTCCAATGGATTAAAAAAAAAAACGACTTCCGATAGGGCATCCAATGGACATGTCCAAGGATTATCCTTGGACGAGACATTTCGTCATCCAGTGGATGTCTGAGGAGGATATACATTGGATGTCCAAGTGTCCATGAGGGTATGTCCAATGGATTAATTTTGGATCAGAATTGCTGCTTGAATAGGCGAGGGGATTCTCGTAGATGTGCGCATAAACGCATTTTCGGGTGGAACGGTTCAGAATGAAGAGCATTCTGTGCAAGCAGACAGAGTGACGGAACGTGCCTTTGGCATGGGAAACCGTGCAGGACAAATATATTGAGAAATCTGAAACTCATGAAAATTTCCCTATACGCTGAAAAACTTCTTTCTTAGGGATGGGTTGTGTGAAATCGATGTCATACCATCTCTCATATACAGTATAGGAATACATAATACTCACCCAAGACGGATGAACGGATTTTCATGAGTGAGATGTCAATCGAAAACTTATGAACGGAGGTGATACTTCTTGGATCAAAAGTACAAAAAATCCTCACATTTTCATGTCATAAGGCCAAATTTCGGTCAATAAGAATAGCATTATACCGAACGGTTCCCGGTCGAAGTGCTCACACGTCATGACCCCCACCCGACCTGAAACTAGGTTGTCGGCCTCGCATTCCGCCTGATGCACGGGTTAGATCGGTTCTATCGAGCCGATCTGCATCCCGATCGAGCTCAAAATCTTCCTCTATTCTACCGGGCGTTCTTAATCTAGAAAGACGGGTCTTATTTTAAGGCTAAGAAGCGGAACTCGTTGAACATTTACATTCAGGCGATTGGGGTTTCCATGAGGACGAAACGCATCCCCTTATTGAAATCATGTCTGTTTAAATTCGCTTAAGAATGTTATGCAATGGAGCTCACTGGATATTGTTACAAAAGAGAAATGGGTAGTCTCTGATGACGGAAACCATCCTCCTGCCCTCCATCTGATTACTGAGAGTTCCCAATTCGCTCTATTAACAATCAATTACGAACTCCGGCGCGTCAAGCCATGTCAATTCGGTCCGTAATTAGTAAAAGCTTGCAGATCCCAGCTCTAGGCCATATACGAGGGGTCCTGGATAAGTTTCCGGACTTTTTGTGTTGAAGTGGTCCAATATGGACGTAATTTTTCCCCCAGTTTTATATATTATTGAATAACAAGGGAAAAAATGTTGACCACACAGGAGGAAATGGAAACGAGAAAAAAAAAAAACTAGTGAATGCGATCGACTGAAAGTGCAGCCATTTTCGCGATTCGATTTCACGTTCGATTTCAAGCGCGGTTGGAGTGCCCAAACCCGTTTCAATGACTTGAAAGAAGTTTTGGGCGATGAAGCCCCAAGTCAGGGAGTTGTTCTCGAGTGGTATGCCCGATTCAAAAGTGGACATTTTTCGATTGAAGACGAGCCACGTGAGGGACGCCCCGAACGTCAACAAATGATGAAAATGTGGCGGTTGTGGCTGCCGCCATTGAGGACAGTGGAATAGTTTGCAGAGAGTCTAGAGATTGAAGAAACAGCAATTCTACGCATTTTGCATGATCATCTCAACATGACAAAGAAAGCTGCCAGATCGGTGCTTCGCATCTTGAAACTTTTGAGCAAAGTCGAAGCGGGCGTCTTTCTCTTCTTGTTTCTTCCAGAAACATATGCAGGACCCCTCGTACAATGGAGAGGATCCCACCCACTTGAATATCGAATGACTTGAGTGTGCCATGCCTGAGTGTGTCTATTCCCGACAAAAATTCTTAGATATGGAACCCCCCTGACACTTTGATTGCAGAGAGCCATAAAGTGATTAGCTTGAATTGACAGGTGAATGCCACCCTTGTGGGAAAGAATGGGGTTGATAGATGGTTCTCCAACTGGAATCCTCCCATGGTTACCACAACATCGCAAACACATCTGCAGGAGACTCACACAAAGAAATGCATAAAAATCTATTGTAGCGAAACCCAGGGGGTCACAAGATATGGGGCACGAATGCCTCGCTACATATGGGGATCAGACCCAATGTGGTCGGATGGTAATCAGGAAGGTTGCGTGTTCTTATAGATGGTAAATTAGCGAGGGAGAAGCGAAGTCTCAGATCTCTCTAGACTCCAAGTATGAAGAAAGGTACGTCCTTAGATTAGGTTAACAACTGTGCAGAATTTATTAGGATACTCAATAGGGGAGAAAGACCGGAAGGAGAAATACAGGGAGATACAGTCTCACGGTTGTAGCTGGGGCTCGCACGCACTTCGTCCTGATACGTGGACGATCGAATGTGTTGGTTCCTGGCCGCCGACCGTGATCCAGGTCGTCGGCTCGTGGTGAGTCCACAGCAGTTCGCTATACAGGCCGGCACGCAGTTCGGGGCTCACACTGCGGTTCACTGAGTTGACCGGCGGTGAGGGTCAGGCTGCGTGACTCGACACGCCACGTGTCGTCCGGCCGAAGGGTCCCGGCGCAATCACGCGCCCACGTGTTGTCCGGCCGAGGGTTCGTGACGGACTCCCACGTGCTGTCCGACCGGAGGTTCAACACGGACTGCTGCGTGCTGTCCGGCCGGAGGTTCAAGGCGGACTCGTGTCGGGCAGAGGTGAGGGCGTGAAGGGGCGAGAGGAGGTCCGCTATTACTATTCGGCGTAGTAACTCGGGGACTCTTCCCCTCTGCTCATCCATGGGCACGAGGGGGACTCCACACTATATCACGTGTTGGCAATACTCTATTTTTTTTTAGCTTTTCTCATCAGGGGCGAGGGCGAAACCCCTGGAATTTATTGCCCCCAACTTCATTGGTCAAGCTCATAGAAGGTATCCGAAAATTTTGGTAGGGAATAGACTACGCATGGCACACTCAAGTCAATCGATGTTCAAGTAACAAAATAACAGAAGCCCAAGGCGGCAGGCAGCTCCCCCTCCTCTCAACTAGAGGTTGTTGGGAGGCTCCCGAGTCTTCAGATTGCTTATGAGTTA